CTAATTATGAATCAGGATCCTGTTTTCTGCCAACTATTTTACTAGGGAGGACACTGGGATGAAATGACTTTAAACACAGCCAACTCCCACGCTCAACAATTGATTATCTTGTGTATGGATTATTCATTACCCCTGATACCTAGTAAGGCCATTCGTTCTCTGGCTCTTTTTTGTAGTTCCTCGGTTGGAAAAAAATGGAAATTCAAATGATTCAAATTTGGTAATGCTACTAGCACATGTGATAAACGTCCTGAAGAGGAGAATGAAACTATTGTTTAAATCGAGGCTTTGCATGTCAATTTCCCTCTCTCTGTGCCGATCTGCCAATACCAAGATCATCAATCATGCCTCTGCCCAGCTGAACAGAGCAGGGGATACAACAAAACATGCTTTGCTCAGTGAGAGGCTACCCCATTATTATTCCACCTCTTTTGGTTTTATTTGACAAGAGAAGGGTAAGTGAGCAAGATGGGGAAGCACAGAATAAATACTAGTCATTAGTTTCCCTTGAGAACCTTCCACAGTGCTGGAAACAAAGCAGGAGCTCATTAAGGGTTGTGTGAATCAATGCAACAGCCAGAAGACCATGCAAAACATGAACATGCTCAAGATAAAGTATCTTTATCTGGACCTTCTCATCTAAGCCATTCATTTTACAGTTTTCACAATTATCCTGTATTTTCTCTGTAATTCCCCCCTTAGATATCTTATCTGCTTCTCCATTTAAGAATGAATTCCATGACTTCACAGCCTGGGTGCTATATTTCTTTGTATCCCAAGCGTAATACTAAAAATTCCTTCAATAAATGCTCTCACAACTCCATGTGAAAAGCTGCCTATTGTCTCACCTACAGCTGACTTCCACGGTTTTTTTTTTTTTTTACTACATAGGCATTTAATAAAACAGCTCATGATTCACTAAATTTATACCCAAGAGGATACTGATTCACACCCTTGGTTTTTATGGCTAATTAAGTCAAAACATCATCTGCTATTACAATGGGTCATATCCCACTGAGAATATAAGGACTGATCACTGTTGTTACTTAATTCATTTTTACCTTCCTGAGTACAAACGTTTTGAAGTTTTGAAACTTGTCATGGGCTGGAATAAAAGAAAACACGCAGGTGCTTAGTTGTGATTGCTTTGGGCTTAACCATTTATGTATCTTCTAGTTACTTTTTAGACTCAGGAAAAGTAGCCTATTAATAACATCTAATCTTATAAAAAACACTGTCCCAAAACTTTTCAAGCACTGTAGTTTTATGCTAAGTTTCTTGAGTATATGTGACAACATTAAAGTGCAAATGTACAGGCTTGGGTACGGATAATCATCCCTAAGGGTAACTACTTGAAAACTTTATTTTGAGGTTACATAGTAAGCAATTCAGCACAGTCACTATAAAAGAACTTCTGAAATGAAACCTGAAAGAATTGTTCTAGAAAATGAGCATGCATACGACATACTGACCACACTGACAGTAAAGATTCAGTGGGCTAACTGTGCAAAGCAGTGTGACCTAGAGACGTGGCCAGGCAAGCACTCCGGCCTTGAGGCAGCTGCTGGATGGAAGGGAGAAAGCCCTAAGGCTGCACAACTGGACACCCCAGCGGCCAGAGGTACCGTGGGAGGTTGGCGTGGGGGGTGGTAACATAGGACACAATCCTAAAGCAGGGTTAACTTGTTAAGCCACTCTGTCCTACCTCTAGCTGTCACTGCCTGGTGGTGGTGTCGGTCTGTGGGGGAGAGGAGGAGGGAAAGCAGGTTTTCAGAAATCAGTGCAGTTTAAAGGGGGTTGGGGGAAGCAGGCTGAAAGGAAAGCATGTGGTCTGCACAGACAGATATGAAGTAAAAGGAAGCTGCTATGCAATTCCCATAGGGCCGGTGTGTCTTCACTGCACATTTATTTACAACCAAATCCTAATATGGCCATTGGGCATTCTTAGCATTGAGAATCCTTGCTAGAGGTTTTTTCGCCGTTTTTGATACTGCTAAGGAAGAAAACAAAACAGAACAAAACCTCGAATCCTGCCTAATTTTTCTGAAACATTTATCTTCTTTTGATCTGGAAGTGTAAACAAATGTCACTTCTGTACTTCTTCAAAGGGAAGGGTTATGTGAAAAAAAAGGTTAGCAGTTATAACGTGCGCCTGGGACAGCATTCCCAAGTTGGGAGACAGTCTTCTTCTGTAAGTCCAATGTCAGTCAAAAACAGAATAGATTCTCACACATTTTGATCTACAGGCAGCTTTGTAAGGATTTCATCCTCACTCCATATGTCAAAAATGGTAATCGTACCCACGGGCAATTATTTCTAAGAACCGTATAAATCTACACACTGCATTATGCCTGCGTTGCTCCTCACCGGGCTACTGTATCCCCGATGACATTAAGAAGTAAGGGCACAATATTTTGTATTGTTGCAGAAACAAGTCCTCCCACCCTGTACAAGTCATCCCAGTTCTCTACAAGAACTTCATTATTTTTCACAAGTCAAGTGTACAGTATTTGCTTCGCTTCCAGCTAAAACGAACACATGCAAATTCAGTCTCCTTCCCTTTAGTGCTAATTTAGACGGAGCATCTCTGGTAGAAGTCCTAAAGCCATGCGCTCACATGTGTATAGTCTTTAACGGAAATGTGACAGTGACGGATTTAAAACGAGTCATAAAAGAACAACCTTTAAGCAAAGGCCAAGGGAATCACAACTACACCCTCTGACCACCGCAGCACTACTGTATCCGCCCTCCAAACATTTTTGCTTCAAGCATTACAACCCACCCATTTACCACAACCACAGCGTGTTCCTGATTTAGAAGGGTGAAGTTCGTGGACTTACGAAATCACACAACTGCATCCAGAAAGCACCAAGCCTTTTCTCTGCGTGGCAATTATGCCCCATCTGAACTAAAAACCTGCCTCTTTAAAGCTCAGTATCAGCGGACCACTGTTAACCCCCTTCTTGACATAATAAACAACTAACATCTTCTAAGAGCATTAACTAGTCCCTCCCGTGCCACAGTTTAGTAGAGAAGAACAAATGGCTTAACACATATTATACAGGAGGAAGAGCTGTGTTAAATCCCGAGTCCGTGGAATACAACCACTGTGTCCATCAGCACATATTTAACTGTGTTTATTCTCTTGGGTTTCAGAAGTTTTGTTTCCTAAAAGCAGGGAAAGAACAGGTCGCTGAAAGGTTCTAGCGAGGTTTCTTTTGGCACGGGAAGAATGTGATAAACAGGGAAAACACAATCACTCGGAATGTCTGGCCCCGGCTCCTTTGTAATACTTAAATAGCGCCCCCCTACCGGGCTTTGCCTCAGCACTGAATGGGGAAACCATTTTAGAGCTTAACAGTTCAGTCTCTACAGTAAACACTCTAAGAGGAAGAACTCAGAAACTTTAAACATAAAACAGGGGTGTGTTAAGAAATACTGAAATACTTCCCTCTCTCCCACCAGGACTGATATTTCTCTTCACCTTGAGGAAGGCAAGACACGCTAAACCTCAGAACAGAGACCAACAGTGGTCTGAAAAGGAACTTGAAAGAAGTCCAAAAACTCTTTTTGGCCACAATATCAAGGGCAAGCCCTTCGTGTGTTCCTTTTCCTTGATGTCATTCTAACACCTGTTTGTTTCAAGGGTCCGGTGTCCTTCATCAATCTTCTTAAAGGAAAATGCAAGAAGACTATTCAGGATTCCCAAAGCTGTGTCAGTGTACTGTTTCCGAAAAGAGCTCCATGTCCTAACTTCAGGTCGTTAAGAGCAGAAGCCTCTTTCCGTGGGGGCGGTTTACCATTGAACTTTTCACAAGTCACCTGAGTGTGCGGATCAAGAGTGCTAAAGACAAACAGTTATTTAACCTTTCTCAGGGGGACACAACCTCAAGCTGAATCTAGCTGGAAGAGCACTTATATTTTATACATGGAAACAATCAATGAATGACACCGAATCCCAAAACAGAAACTCCTCCTAGGGTCAAAAATCATGAAGGGAAATCGGCGGCAGAAAAAGAATTCTACAGTGCAGACTTCTAAGAATGTTTACATAAAAACAAACAGAAAAATCAAGTCACCTTTTCTGGCCTGGGTTCTGTAATTCCAATTGTCATCGTCTGCTTCCACCTGCTGCCCACAGACGGAGAGCTCTCCATCACTGCGAAACAGCCTCTTTGTCTGCCTGGACAAGGAGCAGAAATTTATCCAACTCACAGCCCGTGAGAGAGACCCTGCATTTGACTTGAGTCTGAAAGACCCTGACGAGCCTTCCTTTTTCATCTTCTTTCACACCAGAATCCACTACAGACAAAGGACAGCCCCGCAAAACAAGACGCTGGGTGTTACAACTGTTCTATGTCCTTTAAACGAGCCTGCTCCTTCCCACTGAGAGTCAGGCAGGGCATTATGCAGCAAGACGCTTCTGTGCCCCCCCCCAGTTACAAAGAAAAGGAAACTTGGGGGGGGGGGTTAGGAAACAAAACAACAACAACAACAAAATGTATTTTATCCTAGCCACATGGCGGCACTTGGTAGAATTTTAAAAATGAAGCAGGTGTTCATTTCGGGAACACTTGTCAGGACTTGGAGAGCAGAGCCAAGGCACTCCGATTCTTTGGTGGATACCTAGCATCGCACTGGGTAATCCTGCCCCTCTCCCGGGCATCCTTCCCCACGCGGGCAGGCAGCTGCGGCCAGGAACTCCTCAGGCTGGAGAAAGAGGCTCGGGCGTCAACCCAGGCGCCCCCTTTAAACTTCACCCACACAGGTGTCTCGGGAGGAATCGAAGAGTCGGGCTCCCTTGTCGCAGCGCAGCACCGAATCACGCGGCGCCCACCTGCCCTCCTTCCCCGGCGGTGAACCTGAACCGCTCGGCATCCACAGGGCTCCGCAAACAATACACCCGGCTGGCTGCGTGGCTCTCGCTTGGATCACAGAGGGAGCGCTCCGGGGAGAGGGGATAGGCTTCCCCGACACCGGAGGCTCCTCATTGGAGACGGCAGACCCCGCCTCCTCCCCACAGTCAACACTTCAGTGGCGGCTCAAACTTCGGAACTCCCGCAAAGCTACGGAAAATACAAGTCTGTGCAGAATACAGACCTCTGGGAATTTAAAAAAGAAGAAGAAGAACTCGATTATTAATCATCAGACCACACTTAGGAAGGTAGGACTTTGGGAAGGGGGTATAGAAGAACATATAGTTTTACACAAACATCCAGCATTCCTTGATTGATTGAGGGATGTGATCATCTAAGAAAATGTATTTCCAAAGAGAATGAAAGGGATTCTGCTATCCCTTCGCTCCCAGCTCCTACAAAGGGGAAATGCAGCCATTCTCACACCTGCTGTTGCCTCTCCTTCCTGTCTTCCACCAGCAGCCGAAGTGGGGGGTGAGACCAAGGAACCTCTCCTGCCTCCCCACAGGCAGCCCCTGGGGTCATTCCTCCCTAGTTTTGAAAGATCATCCTATCAAGGAGAACCATCATCTGAGAGCTATGTTAACAGCATCTGGCTGCAGGCTCTAGCCTGGAGCCTCATAAAACCATTAATTATGACAAGCAAAATATCCAGAGCAGCAAGTTGGAATGCACTGGGTGCAGCATTTCACCCAAGGCCAGCATAATTCCATGGTCCTGGGGGCACAAAAAGTCCCTATAACTTTCCATCACAGAGACTGAGGTCAGGCACCCCCTCCCCCAAGGGTTATTCCGAGGAAGGCTGAGCAACAAGTAGAGAACTGGGTCCATCTCACTTGACTTTACTGAGCACTAAGCAAACATATTAAAACTAATACCTTGCAACAGAAAATAAACTTTGATTAAAAAAATTATAAAAGTGGAATCCGCATCACATGTGTACTGCGATCCACAGAGATTTTAAGAAAAACGCTCTGCATGTTTACAAGCGCTGTACGTTTACAAGGACTGAGACATGTGTAGAAGAAAAGCACAGAGCTGCTGCAAAGCATGCCTCAGGTGGCCTGCTCGCACCACCAGGAAAACCACAAGACTGAATGGGCACTGGGGACTGAAGGGCAAAGCTACAAAACAGTCCAGGTAATTAACAGATATGGAATCAGTTCAATTTTTCCTTAATGTTTATTTTTGAGAGAGAGACAGAAAGTGGGCAGGGGAGGGGCAAAGAGAGAGGAAGACACAGAATCCTAGACAGGCTCCAGGCTCTGAGCTGTCAGCACAGAGCCTGACGCTGGGCTCGAACCCATGGACCAGGAGGTTATGACCTGAGCTGAAGTCAGATGCTTAACTGACTGAGCCATCCAGGCACCCCCATGGAATCAATTTAAAAGCTAAAAGCATCCTCAAGAGCTCGTGTAGTTTTTTGTTTTGAAGTTTATTTGAGAAAGAGAGAGCACGGGAGGGTCAGAGAGAGAGAGAGAGAGAGAGAGAGAATCCCAGGGAGGCTCTGCACTGTTAGCACAAAGCCGGATGTAGGGCTCAAACTCACAAACCCATGAGATCATGACCCGAGCAAGAATCAAGAGGCAGTTGTGTAACAGACTGGGGCGCCCAGGTGCCCCAAGAGCTCATGTAGTTTAAATCCCTCAATTCCCAGATGGAGAAATTCAGGCATACACATACACAATACACAATATCACACAGAGGATACCACACGGGAATAGGAGCAGGTCATGTCAGACACCACTGGATTCAAAGTTTTGCCCCTTACTGGAAGTGCTGGCTACATCACCAAGCACTCTGAGCTATTAAACTGGAATGATACCTCTACTTTGATCACTTTCATAAGGGTAAAAATGATAATAATTATGCATAGCACCAGTCAATGCCTATACAAGTTCAAACATCAAATCCCCTTTCAGAGTCAAAGACCCCTTTGAGAATCTCAAAATATAAAATAAAAATTGAAACAAAAAAAAGACCATTGCTCCGGAAAGTATACAAACATCCTGAACACTGTCTTCCATTCCATAGATTCACAGGAATCCCTGACATCCGTGGGTGCACTCTCTAAGGACCTTAGATCCTTATGGACCCCCCAAAAATACAATTGTTCCCTCCCTGATGTCTACATCCTAGAGCTATATACATATATATAAAGTGTATTTATTTATTTTGAGAGAGAGAGCAAGGGAGGGAGAGAGAGAGAGCAGAGAGAGAATCCCAAGCAGGCTCCACTTGCCGGCATAAGCCCCATGCAGGCCTCGATCTCATGAACCTGAAGATTATGACCAGAGTAGAAATCCAGTGCATGCTTAACCGACTGAGCCACACAGGTGCCCCTGCAGCTGTATTTTTAATCCAGAGACACCTAAAGCTCTGAAATACACCTTGTGCTGTTCATTCCATTCACAAAACACTGTTGAATGCTTTTCCAACCCACCCACCTTGGAGTTTGCACACATGCACACACAATAGCAGAGATGAATTAGTGTCATTAGTAACTGCTGTGTTTTCCTCCAGTACCTCTGTCCTTGTACACATCTGAGAGCAAGCTCGTGGGAGGGGCTGAAGGAATATTCACTGCCAAGTAGCCAAGACGGATAACTGGTGTATTCAGGGATTAGACTCATGACTCTCCTTCAAAGTAAGTACACTCTTATGCTGGACTCCCCACTTAATATATCCCTCATTATTCATAAGACCCGTGGATACGTCTGCATGATATCAAATTCTCCATTGACTGGTGCTGTTCCATATTTCTGTTTTATTGGCCCTTGACTATTAATATCTTCACTTACGTAAAAGGAGGTCAAATAATTTAATTACTTTTACAACTGGATCAGAGTTCCTCTATGGCCAAGATAGAACGTAATAGTTTAAATTAGCTTTAGAGGAAATTTTTAGATTTTCCCTATCTGTGTTAGATAGGTACTCCCATTAGCTTAGGAAATCGCTAAGTGGGCTGCTTGCAAAGCTATTTCCTTCATTCAAACTGTATTTATTTAGTAATTACAATGAACCACACATTTTAATTCTCTGGACCCCAGAGCCATACAAATCCACTGCTCCCAGCTGCTCACCAGGGTCACGGCTACTTTGTAATGCACACTTCATGTATATTACTGCTGATCTTCACAAAGACCCTGCAGTGGAAAATCCCTTCTAACCCATTTCTTCAAATTACTTCAAATAGAATCTTCAGGGTAATAAAACATCTCAATTTAACATTTTTTCCCATGAAAATCTACAGTAGAATACACCTTTCTCAGACCTTTGAAACAGACCTGCTGCACAGATTTTGTCTGCATCCCTCGCGGTGCCGCGTTTTTCCATCTCCCCTCTCCCATCAGGCCGTCAAACCGAAACTTGCGCTGTCATCGAACGTGCCAATAACTGCTCCCTTCCTACCGCTTTGCCACTGCTGGGCTCCAGGAATTATCGAGCAATCAGATAAAGAATCTTGCTTAAATTGTGTGTTTAGTGGAAGTTGATAAGCACCCATGGAAAGAAATGCGTAGCTTTTGTACAAGGGCTTTGCTTCTGCTGCCTCCTGGCCAGCGCCCTTGCCCTTTTACTGGCGAGGTGGACCTCACGGGGTTGAAACGGCTGGGGGGTCAGCCTCTGGATAGCAGCCCCCAGGCGGATCTAATACAGGTTTCCGATTCAGTGCCTCTTTTGTATGAAGTTCTTAACATGTGAGGGCAGTGAGAAATTTACCCATTGCTAAAACAAAGCAACAAGAAATGATATTATTTCTGGAATGATTTAAGTCATACATTACAAAAAAAAAAGTTACCTATAAAAACTGGGAGACACCACGGGGCGCCTGGGTGGCTTAGTCGGTTAAGCGTCCGACTTTCGCTTAGGTCATGATCTCACGGTTCGTGGGTTCGAGCCCCGCGTCGGGCTCTGTGCTGACTGCCAGCTCAAAGCCTGGAGCCTGTTTCAGTCTGTGACTCCCTCTCTCTCTGACCCTCCCCTGCTCATGCTGTCTCTCTCTCTCTCTCTCCTAGAAATAAATAAAACATTAAAAAAAAAAAAACTGGGAGACACCAGCATATATTACTAAAAGAAGCTCTGGGATCTTCTTTGGGAATTCCTCGGTCAAATATCCATTAATTTGGAAAGATTTATTTATGTTTCTCCCAAGAGTCACCTGGATAGATCGAATACGTTTGGAAAGTCTTTGCCAAGAGACATGATATTTCATGTTCCGATATATACTGACATCCTTAAAAAGGAGCTTAGCTCGAATGGAAGTCTTTGATTTAGTAAAAATTGTTAAACATGACAAGACATAGGATTAGACAAACCTTCCTCAGCCCGCTCAGGCGTGTAATTGCCTCCTTTGCCATCTGTGTAAAATGCCAGCCAAGAGTAGAAACTAATTTCAAGTGCTATCAGTTTTTTGGCTTCAGAGGCTACAAAGGAGCAACGAGACTTTTTTTTTTTTTAATATTTTTATTTTATTTCTAGGATAGAGAGAGACAGCATGAGCAGGGGAGGGTCAGAGAGAGAGGGAGACACAGACTCTGAAACAGGCTCCAGGCTCCGAGCTGGCAGTCAGCACAGAGCCCGACGCGGGGCTCGAACCCACGAACCGCGAGATCATGACCTAAGCGAAAGTCGGATGCTCAACCGACTAAGCCACCCAGGCGCCCCAGGAGCAACGAGACTTTTAAGGTCCAGGTATCCCTTAACCTGCCCTGACCCCTCCCTTCAAACCCAGAAGGCAGAACCCCGAAGCCAGAACCCTATGGAGAACAGAGATGCCCTGAAGACACTGGTGAGGGTAGGGGGTAGGGGGCGTGGGGGGCGGGCAACGACAGGCAGTGCACACAGACACAGGGGAGGGAAAACATGCGCGGCAGTAAGAACAATCCCCCATGTAAACCGTGACCTGTTCTGCAGCAGCCTGACCGGCCAGGGGCACCCAAGTCCACACCCGGTCAGATTACCACATGAATCACTCAGACGACCCAAAGGGACCTTTAGCGTCTAGGACTGGGGGTGGTTGGTTTCCCAACTGTCGGATCTTGTAAATAATTTAAGGGTCGATTTAAATGCAAACTTTCTATGAAGTAATTTGTACAGGCTAAGAATGAATGCTTATCTCAACATCTAGAAGTGAACACTCTGAGTCAGACGGTTTATAATGAAAAAACAAAACAAAACAAAACAAAACCCATTACCCACCCAGGGCCACTGCGAGCCAACGCCCACAGAACACTAAATCCTCCCTGTCATCCACCTCCCATCCCCTAAGGAATTAAATTGATTTGCTCAAGAAGAAAGTCATGGAAAACAAAATCAGGCCTGTGTTCAGGGTTTCCTCACCTACTACTGCTCCAATATTTAAAAGCAAGAGAATTACGGTGTTTTCATCAGGCTCTAGCTTTAAAAAGACAGAGTAGTGAGGTTCCTTTCAGTGAAATGAACAGTGATATTTCCCTTAAAGAGAAAGATTAAATGCAGACATTCGTAATTATGTGTCATCACAAGCCTCAATCCCACCTTTCAACGTCTTCATATCTGAAAAAGACTCCTGAAATGGTCTGACACGGGAAGGCTTTGCCACATTGTTCCTGTGGGATCACTTGATATAGGAGCAATATGGCAGCGCATTACTGCTCTCAGCCCCCCCCCCCCCCGGGGGGGAGGTGGCGCACAGCAAGGGCATAAAGGCTGCCTCGTACAGACGCCATCACTGACTGATGGGTACCACGGAGTGTCAGAGGTTTGATTAGCAGCTGAGGACCAAGAATGGAGCTCTGTCCCAGCCCTAACCAAGGAAAGGTCCCCATCCAAAGGGGTCAGATGAAAAGGTCCCCTAAAACTAAGTATGGACTTTGACACTCTTCTCATAGAAGAACAAGGAGAAACTTAACTCTGAGACTAAAATTTCAAATTAAAAAACAAAATTGGGGAGGTGGGGCACCTGGGTGGCTCACTTGGTTAAGCGTCCGATGTCAGCTGAGGTCATGATCTCACAGTTTGTGAGTTTGAGCCCCACATCGGGCTCTGTGCTGACAGCTCAGAGCCTGGAGCCTGCTTCAGATTCTGTGTCTCTCTCTCTGCCTCTCCCTCACTTTGTCTCTCTCTCTCTCTCTCAAAAATTAAAAAAATTAAAAATTTCAATAAATAAAAATTTATAAAAATTAAAAAAGAATTTTAATCATGATCTGCTTTGTACTTCATGCCACTCCTATGGTCTCTCCAGCGATCCCTGTAATTATTTTTTTTTCTATCTACTCAATCTTTTTCTTTTTAATGTTTATTTTTGAGAGAGAGTGAGCAGGTGAGGGGCAGAGAGGAGGGGGACAGAGGATCTGAAACGGCCTTGGCACTGACAGCTGAACTCACGAACTGTGAGATCATGACCTGAGCCGAATTGGCCGTTTAACCGACTGAGCCACCCAGGAGCGCCCCCTACTCAACCTTTCTTCACAAACTTTATCATGTACATAAATCACATAAGATTTTATTAAAACACAGAGTCTGATTCAGGCATGGAGTCAGGCCTGAAATTCTGAAGCCCTCCGAGGGCCCACGTGATGCCAGTCCCCAGATCAGCCTTGAGTTAGCTCAGTACTGGACTGGACTGCTCCCTAAGGACAGGGATCTCATCTGTCCACCTCCGTGTCTCTTACCTTCGCACAGCCAGCGGTAATGACTGCTGGCTGAAAGAGTGAGCAATACAACCCGTCTATTCATTTCCAAGTACCTCTTTCTTTTGATCTTAACATGTTTCAGGGAAGGAGATAATTAGAGCTTTATAGCAATCTTTCCTTTATCACTAAATTCCAAAAGGCAAAAGTAAAAATTTATAATCTGACCAAAAATCTATATAACCTGAATTAAAGGGTGGTAATAAAATTCTATTAGTCATAGAGTTAGACCGCTTCACTTTGATAAGAAACAGGGCCATCAAACTGCGAGGCTCTATGCTTTCCGTACTTTGTTAGGAGATCTGCACTGCTTTCATCCACCAAAATTCCAGAATCTAACGATCTGGCGCAGAATCTGTGGCAATCACAATGAGCCAAACTCTGTGAAGCAGCCCACATCCTGTCTGCTAATCCACACAGACAGGCCCGGACCTCCTGTGTTCTACAGTGTGAATTGAGTTGCTCTGTGACAGTGGAAATTTTTTTACATCAGTTTTTCCTGGTACCTGTTGAAGACAAAGAAAATTTTTAAATCAACCTTTAAGTGACGCTCCAAGGGGTTTATGGCAAAACCTATGGGGAACACTGAATACATCTGGTTTTTCAACAGCCATTTTATCAATTTAGCTATCCTTTATTACACTACCGTGCCACATTACACATGGGTTAGATACTGCCGATACCTGCAGTGACTCCACTGAACCAAACAAATCTTCTAACAATTTGAGTAAACAAAATAGGCATAAAATCATATACTGGTGGTACCCTGTACCCCGATTAAAACATGTGACCAAACAAAGGAGACAGAAATGCAAATATATATATTTAGGATTAGTGCAATTCCCTCTAGACATCAGTTTTTTTTAGTATCTCCAATGATGAGAAAGAACCCAGATAAAGGGATCAGTTCAAATATTTATTGGTCTCCTTCTGGGAGATCAGTCAGGCAAGCTGATTCTAAAGCACAAAAGATAGA